GGTAAAAAATCGCCCTCTCCCCTCCCCCGTCCCCAGGAAATCGCCCTGGATCCGCATATGCCTGAAAGGGATGAAATTATTCTCATTTAAAGTGAATGGCTTATATAGGAAAAAAAAATCATTGGTTATTTTTTCTTCAGACTAACTACATTATGTATTGTGTTTAGTTGCGAGATGTTGAAGAAATTGAAATGAAAGATGCCGTTGATAAAGACGAAGACAAAGATGATGAAAATGAGCCAGAAAAATCGAAAAAGCCACGACTGGAGGACAAAGTTCCATCAGCGAAAGTGGTTGGAATTGTGAAACGAAACTGGCGACAGTACTGTGGAATGATCCTACAACCGGCTGTAAAAGGTATCAGCTTATCAAAATCATCGAAACCTTTCATGTTCCTCCCCCGTGTGTCAGTCTCCCGTTTTAAAATTTTCGCTCATACGCGCCGGTTACGGATTGTTGATATCAGAAGTGTGATTTTATTAGGATGCCATTTATATAGTGTTTTAGTGGCTATTACTTGGAATGTTTGGATCAGTTAATGCATGGGCTTGTTTTCCAACTGTATATTTAGCAACTTTTCGAGTTGTTTTGACCAATATTTTAGCAACTTTTCGAGTTATTTTGACCATTATTGTATCTTTTGGTGGTCAGCTTACTAGCGATCTTGACGTTTGTTTTTTCTACTGAAGTATTTTGTGAACACAATAGCTCCCCCGACATGAAAGCATTTAGGAAGGTCTGGGCTGTTTCGAGATTTGCCTGATGATGAGCATTACCACTTTATTTCCTTGTGAAGATTGCCACTGCTTTTCATGTTTTAAAATTCGGTGAGAACACTTTACAGACGAGCAAAATAAATAATCCTGTGGCTAAATTTTTTTGGTGTTGCTTCCTGATACATCTGTGAATTGCAATTAGTGGAAAGTGTAAACATGGCCGAACCACCATATTTAAAGCTAAGGTAGGGAAGAGGAATATTAAAACATTTGTAATTGGTGAGAAATTCTCCGATCCACCAAGTCGTATACATTTCTTACCGTTACCACAGTCATATTATGACCAGCTCGTCACAGTAGAGCGTGGAAACCGTCCGGGCGAGAAACTGCTAAAACACGGCGCGGCCTCGCCTGGCGAGGCTCGGCCGAACATGCACTAAAATCTTACTAACCCGAATTCGAGCTGGAAAACTGTTATGGTAAGGAATTAAAATGAAGGAGAAGAGAGAGAAGAAAAGAGATGATTAAGAGGACAGGGTTGTTGATTTGAAAACATGCAGCATGAAACTGTATGTTATGAAGTTTAAGAAAAAATCGCGATTAGGTGAGCCGGAAATTCGCGAAAGTGCTGAAAAAGTTGTTGTTTAAGATTCCACTCGTGTACTTTTTGCTGCGGCTGAACGTCTCATACCTCGAATACGCATTGAAACACGTCAAGCTGATCGGATCCGTGGAAAACGTGTGGTTGTTGCAATCGATAGCTGGCCAAGAGATTCCCGATATCCAATTGGACATTACGTCCGAAGTATTGGCACTGTAGGAGACAGAGAAACCGAAAATGAGGTAGTTTTTTTCTTTGTTTTCCTTTCGATATTTCCCTTGTAATATCACTATATTGAGAGAAAAAAACGGTAAAAACAGGTTTTTTTTAGGTAGGATTTCTCGTTTGACGTCCTTATTAAACTTGCTACTAATAGGGGCATTGTCATCATAAAACTGAAAATTGAGGCCATCATCCAAGCAGTGATTGGTCAAGAAAAATATTAATAAATATCAAAATTAAATATTAAATTTATAAATATAATTGAATAATAAATATTTAAATTCAAGCATTAAACGAATCCATGTTAAGAAATATTAAGAAGTTTGAAATATTAAAATATTAAAGTATTAACCTAAAAATTTAGATACGAATTTGAAAAAATTTAAACACAAATTTAAAAAAGTTTAAATATTTATACTCAAATTTTTTAAGTAATATTGAAAAATTAGTATTGAAAAATATTGGAAAATTTTATATTGAAAAATTTTCACGGAAACGCTTGCAGGTTCTGTTGCTGGAGCATGACGTACCGCATGGTCCATTCTCGGAAGCAGTCTATGCATGTTTACCAGATCTGCCATGGAATGTGCCCAGTGAAAGTCACCGGAAAGATTTACGTTCGTTGACAATTTGTTCAGTGGATCCACCTGGTTGCACCGATATTGATGATGCACTTCACTGTAGGCAAATTGATTCGGATCGTTTTGAGGTACCATGTTTTTCTGTGAAAATATCCGGAACCTTATTCCTCCGTGAAGATATCCGGAACCGTATTCCTCCGTGAATATACCAGGTACCGTGTTCCTCCGTGAAAATATCCGGTACCGTGTTTCTCCGTGAAAGTACCAGGTACCGTGTTCCTCCGTGAAAATATCCGGTACCGCGTTTCTCCGTGAAAGTACCAGGTACCGTGTTCCTCCGTGAAAATATCCAGCACCGTGTTTCTCCGTGAAAATATCCGGTACCGTGTTTCTCCGTGAAAATATCCGATACCGTGTTTTTCTGTGAAAATACCAGATACCGTGTTTTTCTGTGAAAATACCAGGTACCGTAAAAAAATTTCCAGTCCCATACAGAGTGTAAATTCACAGGGAAATTTTGTTTCACAGGTTGGTGTTCACATCGCTGATGTTTCACATTTTGTTCGCCCAGATACAGCAATGGATGCGGAAGCAGCACATCGTGGCACGACAGTTTATCTTTGTGACAAGTCAGCACAATTTTTGTTTTCGATTTCGTAAAATTACCGTTATCGCGAATAGTGGGTTCGTTGAAAGGATGAGGAGTCCATGCACCCATAAGCGGATCTGGGGAGGGGGGAGGAGAGGGGGAAATGGGGGGAAAGGGAGGGGGTGAGGGGCATTTCAGTGGCTTAGGTAGCAGTTGTTTTACTGTACAGAAGTCTGCGTGGCAACCCCTGTTGCCCGCCTTCCCCTTCTCCCACTCTCCCAGGAGCCTTATCAGTCCGGTTTTATATCCACTGGTGGGGGTGGAAGGGAAGGGGTAACGCGACGATTGAAGGATGAGTTGGGAGCTCACCATAGGGGCGGGTAAGGGGGGGAGGGGTGCAGTGACGAAAGGAAAAGGGGAGGTGAAAAATCGCCCTCTCCTTCCTTAGGAGGCCGTCCTGGATCCGTCTATGCATGCACCTAGTGCTGCGAAGAAGAAGGGTAGCAAAAAGTCATCAAAACGAACGCTAGGATCATCAGATTTTGCAAAATCGGTTATAATAGATGCGAAAAAAGATTGCTGGCTTTGTCAGTAGTCCATAGATATTTTACGATAAAATGACCAATGGCCAAAGTTATGTCAGAGGAAGAAGAAACCCATTGGTTTTTCTTTTTAAATTTAAATTTTTCCAGGCGAATTGATATGTTACCCGAGCTACTCTCCAGCGATCTATGTTCGCTTCGTGAAAATGTCGATCGGCTGGCATTCTCAGTGATCTGGACACTCACATCCAATGCCGATATCATCGATGTAAAATTTCACAAATCGATTATACGATCAAGCGGAGCATTGACCTATGAGCAAGCGCAAAAAATGATCGATGATACCTCATTGGTTAGTATTCCTCATTTCCAGAAATTTTTTTTTGCTGCTTTTTAATAGATTGTTTAGCGGAAACAGAAAATGAAGTATCTGATTATAACGAACGATTGTAACGATGAGCGCGAATAAGGCCAATTGGGGCACGAAAGCTTTTTTTTATCGCCTTCTTGCGTTTTCTTCTACTATCGCCTCACCCTACTCTGGACCCCTTAACTTGGAGTTTCTTGGAAGAGAATCTGCCGAATTTTTTTAACTCCCTCCTGCCGCCCCCCCCCCCTCCCCCATACTCTGGGCCCCTTAACTCGGGGTTTCTTGAAAGAAGGTTTATCGAATTAATTCCAAAGTTTTCTGCTGCTGGAACTGCAGAATGGAAGAGCGAAAATGAAGAAGTGTTAGGTAGTACAAATGTATGTGTGTAGAGTTAGTCCAACGAGGGGAGGAAGGGGGGGGGGGAGGGCGCGAGACTTTGGGTTGATAATCTGTAATCTTGATTAACAATGCATTGTATGCTGTTGTATTAGTGTGCGTGTGTGCGTGCGTGTGTGTGTGTGTGTATGTAATAAATTTGCCCTGATACGGTCGGATCGTCGCTTCAGAATCGGCTTCGCAGTCGCTCATCCAGCGTACAATCCTTTCGTCCACACGCCTTGTCAAGTAAAGCCTCTTCAACCTCTTCGTTTTCGGCCCAGACAATTCAACGTCAGGAACAAAGATGTGACAGAAAGAAAACTGGCAAAACTAATAATAAAGGCTATTGAGCCAAGAGCAGCATCCAGAATGATACTGGAAACAAAAAGGGAAGACATGATAAAATTTGGAAAGGAAAAGAGGTGTAAAAGAAGAAGGCCGAAGCAGGATAAGGCTTTTTTAGTCCATTAAGTCATATACGTCTTAACTCAACACTGCGACTGGACCTTGTCAAGATAAATTCACCGTATTGTTGTGTTGGTTATATCTGTGGGTGTGAGTTCTCAGTTGTTTTAGCAGGGTGTATTTGAAGGGCAGTTGATCATCTCCTGTTTCCAGTACACTTTTGGATACATCTAAATTTCTTTATCATTAAAAATTGTGCAAAAATTTTCAGTCTGATCCTGTGACAGTGGGATTGCGCGGCTTGTTGGCGCTATCGAGAAAGTTGAAAGAGAAACGGCATGTGAGTGGTGCTTTGACATTGGCTTCATCCGAAATTCGATTCAACATTGATTCCGAAACGAAAGATCCGATAAATGTGCTGGAGAAAAAAGCTCTGCCAACCAATAGCATGGTAAAAAAAAATTAATTCTTTTTGTTTTCATTTTTTAAAATTTTTAAAAAACTTTCCTTTTTTTTAAAATTTTTTCTTTTTTTTCGAACAGAGGAACATGAATCGAGCGTATTTTTGGCACATTTTAAGCAAGGGAAATGGAAATTTATTTGTTTTTTTGTTATGTCTGCATAAGAAGATAAAAGAAAAAAGGCTATAAAAAAGTTGAAAAAAGCAATTTCCAAAAAAGTGGGAAGCGGAGAGGGAAGGGAGGAGGGGGGGGGG